CTCGTATACTAAGGATGTTATCTGCAGAAAGCCCACAAGAGAGGGCGAGGAGTCACTGTGTGTCTTGTTCATGAATCGCGCCCAATCGCGCTCGCGTTTTCCACGTGAGAAGGTTTAATCTTGCGTGGGCGTCCCGCTTGAAAAAAAGACGCCATGGCGAAATGATTTGAGAATTTTCGCAGGTGTGGGAATGTCGCACACTTGAGGTGTGTACCTGAGAGACAAAATAGCAAGTGCGCTTTCGGGCATAATTGACAGGGGTATTTTCTCTTGATGGGGGGGGGGGGGGGCGCTGTGTTGCATCATGGCGCGGGGAAGGGGAGAGCACTGGTGCAACTTGCGCGCGGTCAAGTGCCAGTGTTGCTTGATGGAAGAAAGCAAACGACAGGGGGGGGGGGGAGGAAAAACTAGCATATTATTAGCCAGTCTAGAAGTACCGGTATGCTATCCTACACTGAGGAAAGGGATGGCGAGTTATAAAGACGAGAAAAAAAAAAGAAGAGACAGCTAGCACCCACAACGTCACACTTTACAGTCATCAATAGTCTATAACCACCTGTGCAAGTCTGTTGCCTTGAAGATCTTGAGCACTGCTTTCGCCTCCTTCACCCGCAATGACATCTCAGCACGACAGTCCAGAACGGTTTCTGCCGTCACTGGTCTACGATCTATGCGAGTGTTGTTACTTGGTGGGAAGCGCAAAATGGTAGGGAAATGCCCCGATCTTTTGCAGGTGGGCAAAGGGTAGTTACAAGAGATGGGGGCAAAAGGGCAGAGGAGTTCAAAAAACTCCCCTTCGCAATTCCTTCCCGTCACCCCTGCCTTCAGCAGAGCTTCCGTCTGCACAACTCGGACAATTTTGTCTAACTTATTTCACCCTCAAATAGAAGTAGGCAATGCAAATAGTACGGAGCGGTTTTCTCGTGCAGCCATTCACTGTGGTGCGAAACCCGCGCCAAGCTGGCCTACTTCGTGTAAAACACGAACTGGGCCGCACGAAGTAGGCTACACAAAGTGGAGCTTCTGCACGAGTACAGAAGCTCCACCCCCGTGGTTACCCCTTCATTGCCAAGACAAATTGTGCAATGCTCGTGTTCCGCGTTGCAGCAACTGAGGCCAGTACTTTTCGTAAGGTCTTAATTAACTTCATTTAACTTTGGCCTTTTTCACGAGCTTTGGAACAAGAACAACGTGGCGAGCTATTTCTGATACGCGCCCGAGTTACGTTTCTTCCCGCGTTGACAGATTGGCAGCAACGAAACGAACGCAAAAGAGGCGCCGAGCCCATGCAGGGAACAACCGGCGGGAAGCGAACTCCCAGGTATGTGGCCCTCAAGCCGAGGCTTTATTATGTTGGGGAATATCATTTCGCTATACGTGAACAATGCATCGGTAATGTAATGTTCCACATTCGCATTTTCGCGGATCGGAAGCACACCCAAAAGAGAATAAGAGAATGCTCACACAAAGACGTTAAGCCCCGCCGTTGTGGTATAGTGGCTAAGGTACTCGGCTGCTGACCCGCAGGTCGCGGGTTCAAATCCCGGCTGCGGCGGCTGCATTTCCAATGGAGGCGGAAATGTTGTTGGCCCGTGTGCTCAGAATTGGGTGCACGTTAAAGAACCTCAGGTGGTCAAAATTTCCGGAGTCCTCCACTACGGCGTCTCTCATAATCATATGGTGGTTTTCGGACGTTAAACCCCACACAACAAGCAATTAATCAATCAATCAACAAAGACGTTAAAGTGCCCACAGGATAATAATAACAATAATAATAATAATAATAATAATAATAATAATAATAATAATAATAATAATAATAATAATAATAATAATCGATGAGTAATGCCCCAGAACCACGATAAGATTGTGAGAGACACCATGCAGGAGGTATTATTAATAATAATAACATTAATGATAATAATGGATGCTTAATGCCCCAAAACCACTATAAGATTATGAGAGACGCCGTAGCGGAGGGTTCCAGAAAGTCCAACCATCTGGAGTTCGCACTCTATAGGATTTCTCCTCGATCGAAATTCGACCATCACGGCTGGGATAGATCGAACCCACGAAGTTCGCGTTACCAGTCGAGTGCCCTAACCGCTTCACCACCGCGGAGGACACAGCGCACACAGGCGGGGACAAAGGCAGGCGACGCAGCGCTGATGTGCCTGTCCCCGTCTCGGTGTCTGTAACGTTAAGATGTATTACACTCAAGCCATCCTATTGAGTTTCCAACTGAGGTCCGCCTCGGTGATGCGCGGTTACGTTGCTCGGCAGCTGACCGAAAGGTTGTGGGTTCGATTCCCGCTGCGACGGTCGCATTTCAATGGATTCAAAATGCTAGAGGTTCGTGTACTGTACATATACTATGTCGATGCATTGTAAAGAGAGCTGGTCCAAATTTTCGGAGCCCTCCACTTCGGCGTCGTGGTTTTGGGAAGTAAGACCCCTATTGTTATAATTACTACAATTGTCGTATAGAGCTTTCAACAGCTGTACATAATTTTCCTAATAGCCTCCTTTAATAACATTAAGAGACACATTTCGAGAAGCCAATCAAATAATGTAAGATGGCGCCGGCTCTGTATACGTAGTACGTTGTGTACATTTTCATGCGCGGCCGAAATTCCACTGGTTTACGCGGAGTGCATAGATAAACTTTTTTATCATCGTTCGTAAAAGATCACTGTATGATTGTTTCTATTGGCAGCATGTATACATCGGCTGCAGTGTTTCGTATGCAAGTAACATTCATATACACCTGAAGTGGGCTATTGCGGAAGCGCTTTCTGGTTTAGAAATTCATCCCGACTCAAAGAACCGCGGCTCAAGCCACGAGTTTTGTTATGCCTTCAAAGTCACGAGAGAATGCGTGTTTATCACTCTTAGAAAAAAAGGTCGACATATTCACTAACTAAATACTGACCGTTTACTTTTTACGAGAAACACTATGGCGTTTTGGTAAGCAAAACTATAATAAAGAGTAGAGAAAGGAGTGTATACAGACACAAGAGCTCATAGTCAAGGCCACTACGCACAATGCACGATGCATTGTGTGCTCGGATGAACCAGTGTGCTTTCGCTGTTACACATGCCAGTGTGCGCCACTGATGCTGGTGCTTTTAAGCGACACGTCACTAAGCCTGCATTCGAAACAAGCTTCATGCAGTTCATGCAGTCAGAAAGTAACAAGACATGAAATGCTGCCGGACACCATGCACGTTCACGCTCTACCACTCTTCGACCATTTCAGACAAATCACTGAACTGTGAGAGTTTTTCATTGAGGATACCGTTCCTTTGTTTTTGAAAGTAAAAACATCAAACAAGCACGAATGTTCCACTTCAACGCGGAACAGCCACAAACATGAGCAAGCTCCATCATAACAAAAATACAGCAAACGAAAAACATCATGCGTTTTAGTAAGCAAAGCTATTAAAACGCAGGCTTGGTGAACTTACTACCTGATTAGTAAGTGAACCGTACTCACTAAAATGGTTGTATAGCCCGTTGCTGAATAATTAGTAAGTGCAGTAGGACTTATTAATCGTAACAACTCTGGTGAACAACCATTAGCCAAATAGAGGTGTATACGCGAATTTCGTTCGCATGTGCGTGTGGATTGCCGTATCAGGTTTATTGTTTGTATATTTCAAAGTCACATATAAGATGAAATAAACAACAAAGCGGCATCTTACTTATACACTAATTATTGACCACTAATTAATTCAAGTAATTACCATATTAAGTACACATCGCAACGACATACATATAGGAGGAGCTTGAACGGACCACAAACGAGAACACACATACGAAGGCACAGGCGGAATATCAAGATATCCACGTACTCAGTATCTACTGTAACAGTAGCTTGAAGGCTATTTGTGCACCTACTTAAGAATGCGCATCGTGACCTGGTTGGAAACCACAGAATTTACAGCAATAATCGACGTTTTTTATATACGCAACATTTTGTACCATTCTGAATATGTTTCTGCCATTACATAGCACGAAACTGTTATATAGTTCACGATTACAGCAAAATATAAGGCACCAGGCAATATTCATGGCTCAGTAATTACCTAGCTAAAAACACCAGAAAGCTTCCCAGACTCGAAACGGTAAAATTTACAAGAACATTTTTTAACATATGTTAACACAGCGCATATGCCTCCGCTGACACAAGAGTAGGGACAAACCCCAGCGCTGCCTTCTTCTCTTGTGTCCGCGTATTCGTACACTGTGTTAAAATATGTTAAAGTACTGTCACCAACTGGCCCAGCTTTCAGTCGTCCTACAAGACTTACTATCTTTACTAGCTGCTGGCTAGTAAGTACATGTGTTCACCATTTGCAAACAAGAATGCACACACGGTTAAAGCGAAATGGCCGTACTGCAAGGAATAAATGAATTAATTAAAAAATGAATTATTAAATAAAAGTGTTACGAAAGAGACACGACATCTATGACACGACTATGAGGGCAGCACTAAAGGCAGTAACTGGGGCATATAGTACCCCGTTGACACGTTTACTACCGTCCAACGTCAGCACCTGTAATTTTGTTCTCACATTTAGTGTGCAGGGGTTAGTAAAGGTGATCACTACTTGCGTGTGTGTCCACTTAATAAACGTCACTAACCCTATCGACTTCGGTGCGTTATGCTATAATTGTGAATCTTATGCAAAATACTGCCAGAACATTAAGCTGATGGTCAGTTAACCTGTACAATGTGAGCAACCAAAGTAAAGATTTCTGTCATGTGCACGCACGCACCGATGCCTTTGGTTACGGTTAGCATCGCGTAGAAGCCTTGGGAATCTGTGCATGTATGTATGCGTATCTGAGGTTGTCACTGTGGTGTGTATTTACCATAACATAACATAACTTTATTGTCCTTAAGGACCCCTCGAGGGGGTATTACATAAGGGGTGGGTTAACATATAATTTTTTTTTGTTGCCACAAATTTTTATCACGAAAAGTGGACACATAATCAATCAAAAAATGATGATGAGCATTCAGTGGTGACGGCATCATGGGGAAGGTCATTCCAGTCTTTTGCTGTCCGAACAAAGAAGGACATAGAAAATGTGGTCGTCTTAATCCTCGGCCGGGCAACTTGAAGCGAATGACACGTGCGGTGAGATATGCGGGCCGGTGGGGCGATGTAGGGATGACGAAGGGTGCTGTAAAAAAAACTTATGAAAAAGGCTGAGACTAGAGATGCGGCGGCGAATGTCAAGGTTTAAAATAGCCGATTCCTTTTTGAGTGATGTTACACTTGCATTGTAGGAATACGAAGAATGAATGAACCTGATGGCACGGTTTTGAACTGCCTCGAGTGAGTCGATCAGATAGGCTTGGTGTGGGCTCCAGACTGCGGATGCGTATTCTAATTTGGATCGGATGAGGGACTTGTAGGCCTGTAGCTTGACAGTTTTAGGTGCGTGCCGGAGGTGACGTTTCAGGAAACCCAGAGATTTGTTCGCTGATGATATAATGTTAGTAATATGCGTGCACCAGTTTAGATCATTACATATGGTGACACCGAGATACTTGTATGACTGCACGTGTTCGAGGGTAACGCTAGCAATTACATAAGGGAACAGAAAGGGGTTGTGGCGGCGGTGAAATGAAACGATCTCTCATTTGTTGGGATTAAGTTTCATGAGCCACAGGTCACACCATTCTTGCACGTGGTTTAGGTCATCTTGGACAGCGGCTTGATCAGTGGGGTTGGTAATTGGTTGATATATTACGCAGTCGTCGGCGAACAAACGGATACAAGAGGAGACACATGAAGCTAGGTCGTTTATGTAAATCAGGAAGAGAAGGGGCCCGAGTACGGAGCCTCGGGGGACACCTGACGCTACTGGAACGGGACTAGAGTGTACTTCATCGATGGAGACAAACTGCGAGCGGTTAGTTAAAAATTCCTCAATCCAATTTACTATGCCATGATGTATATTTAAAGATCTAAGTTTCATTAAAAGCCGCTTATGGGGTACCGTATCGAACGCTTTCGAGAAATCTAAAAATATGGCGTCCGTCCGCAGATTAATGTCAAGATTGGCATGCAAAATCCTGAACAAAGAGGGCTAATTGGGTTTCGCAAGACTAACCTTTGCGAAAACCATGCTGTGCAGGGTGGAAGAAGTTATTGCCGTCAAGAAAATGAATGATTTGGGAAAAGATGACGTGCTCCATGATTTTACAGGGTACGCTTGTTAAAGAAATGGGGCGATAGTTTAGAGGGCTGTCTTTGTTACCTGATTTGAAGACCGGAGTGACCTTCCCCGTCCTCCAGTCGGCTGGTAAGTGGCCGGTGTGGAGTGACTGTGAGAATATCAGCGACATAATCACTGAAGAAATACATTTAGTGTTTTTAAGAATTTTCGAATTGATTCCGTCCACACCTGCTGAAGAAGACAGTTTCAATTTTTCAATGACAGACATTATACCGTCTGGCATAAATGTTATACGCGACATAGAAGACGGTACACAAATTGGTAACACAGGGAATGGTATATATGGGGTTTCGTGGGTAAACACAGAAGAAAAAGCAGTATTGAATAGCTCAGCGCTCTCAAAATTACCAATAACGTCGCCCACTTCACTTTTCAGTGTAATGCTGCGCGTTTCTTGTGGATTAATTATTTTCCAAAACTTTCTGGGGTTATTAGTAAGTATCTTGGGCAAATCTGTGTGAAAAAACGAGTGTCTGGCGCTGCGTAAGGCGAGCAAGTATGTTTTTTCAGCCGCATAGTATTTTTCCCAGTTGTGAGCACTCTGTTTTAACTTGGCAGCGCGAAATAACCGTTTTTTCTTATTTTCTAGTCTTTTCAAGGTTTTTGAGAACCATGGTTTCTGGGAAGACGTACGAAATGTAGTTGTAGGTATGAACTTTCTTGCTAGCTCCCCTATTTTGTTTTTGAAGATTGTCTAGTTGTCTTCGACTGTTCTGCTTGAAAGGCGAGCTTCAAAGTCTGGTAAAAAGCCTTGAAGTTCGTTGTTGATTGCCTCGTTATTCCCTTTATCATATAGATTGATAGTCTTGGATTGAATCAGGCTGGGCGAGTGACTGAAATTGAAGACTGAGTGTATAACCTTATGGTCGCTGATTTCGCGCAAATATGTAAGCGAAGATAGCGTTTCGGGATGTGTTCTTAATATCAAGTCCAAAATGTTCGCTGAGCTATTTGTCACGCGGGTTGGCTCCAACACCAGCTGTGTGAGGTTGAAGTTTAGGCAGACATTGACGAATTCTTTTGCTTCCGCGCTTGTTCCTGACAAAGCTGCCAGATTTTGCCAATCGATGTCGGGATAGTTAAAGTCGCCGAAATTTTGGACGCGCGCGTTGGGTTGTTTCAACATGAGATGATTCAATATGTGGTTAAATTTCTGTGGAAAGTCTGGGTTGCTTTGCGGGGGCCGATAGTACACTCCAAGTAGCAATGTTAGTGGTGTAGAACGAATGAGAAGCCATAGGATTTCTAAGTCAGTCGCAATGTCGATGACTTAGCACGAAAATAGCTTACTAGTGGCGATCAGAACACCTCCCCCACGGGCGCCCTTACGATCGTTACGAAAAACGTTGAAGTTCGGAAGATCGGTCAGAATTTCGTCGTCTGTGACGTCACCAGAAAGCCACGTTTCGGAGAGCACGACTATACTGCTGCTAGATGACGAGACAAGACTACATATTGCCTCGCGTTTTGAAAGGAAGCTGCGCACGTTAGTGTAGACCACAGAAGTAGTGACATTTGCTCGGGCGTCATTACAGGGGCGGTGTGGCAGTTGGCGATGCTGCCTGGTTTGCTATGGGATTTCTTTGACTTTTCGCGATACTTCATCGAAGGCATACTTCTTTGAACCAAGAAACAACGTTTTGTAAGGGCATGAAAAAGCGGTTGACTTGTTTCTAGCGAAGGCTATTAGGTGTTTTCGTGCATTTTGAACCGAGCGTGAGAAGTCCTGCCTGATTGCGTAAGTTGTACCTTTCAGTTTTTTGCCGTTAGACAAGATCGCTTCTTTAGTTTTAAAAGATGTAAATCTTACTATGATAGGACGCTGCAGGCCAGCCTTGTAGCAGCCGAGCCGATGTGCCCTTTCAATTTCCTTCGGATCAATTTCTATGTTTATGTGCTCACTGCAGAGGTTCATAATTAATCCTTCCGATTCCAAGAAAGTTTCAGGGTGATTAGTATCTGGAAGTCCGTGGAATAGCAGGTTGTTGCGTTGCAAGCGATTTTCAGCGTCCTCAAGCCGAGCCTCTAAGGTTTCAATGTGACGGCTGGTGGCAGCCGTACTGGCCTGCAATGTCACTAGTTCTGATCGCACAGATGAAAGGGTTTTGTAGTGCTCCTCCAACTGTGCTATTCTATCACTTAGGCCACGAATAGTTTTTTCCCGTAGTATGCAGCTGTACTTTTAAGTCTTGCACTTCGGAAAGGAGTGCAGACTGCCCGGTAGATATTTTTTTCAGCTCAGCCAGAATTACAGGGTCAGTAGGCCCTGGATTGGTTTCTATGTCCCCTGACAGTAGCAGTAATAAACAGTGAATGGCATAGATACATTCAAAAGCAAGGCATACACAGTACTGCGGGCTCGGAAGCTGGACGAGACAGTAATTACTTGATTTTTTGAAAACAAAGAGCTTTTTCTACAAACCTGCATGGCAAACAGGAGCGGGTTAGATGACTGTTCCGTGGCGTAGCCACCGAGCCCACAGCATGCCGCGCGGGGATGCTCCAGTTTTATAGCTGTTATAGCTGTTGGGGATGCTGATGGCGATAGGGCAACTAGTGGCTGCCGTATCCATAGTTCCTCGTGTGGGGGCGCCGCTTGACAGGCCAGCGCATCGATGTCAATTGAAACCGCATTGGGTAGGCGTATCCGCGCTGATATCGAGCCACAAAGGCTCGCAGGCTGCTTGTCTGTGGGGCACTGTGCCCAGTGAGGCGGAGGCAAGGATAATCATATCGACCAAGATAATCATATGAAAAAGACAATACTATACAGTCTCAGTTCTTTATTTGAGGCTGTCAGAGAAGTGAATAATTCTCTGTAACTGATTCTTTGCGGGTAGTAACTGCAAGTAGCACGTCATTTACTAGTACTAACATTTGTAGCAGTAGAATTAGCAATATACTTTATTAGTAATAGATTAGTTTACTACACAGTAGACTATGATGTGACAACCGTTTACTACCTTAAAATTCGCAGCACTGCTTTTTTTTTAATTGTGAAGGGCTAACTTTGTGCAGTCGAAGAGCGCAACCAAGCCGGAAGGCTGATCACTGCAGCACCACCCGTTGGCCAAACGGAAGACCCCTACTGCAAGGAGCTCAGCAAAAGTGGTGAGGCCGTCAACCAGAAGCTTAGAAGGTGTCCCATCCGTATTACACAGAAGTGCGGCAACCGATCACCTTCGCGAACTAAGCAAATAGTTCCGTGCATGCACAGGGCAATTTTCTCCAGAACCGGGCTTCCCGGCCGTCCGGTTCATGGCGCCAGTCTCATGCGCGTGGCCATTGGTGCAGGCTTGCGTGCATCTGCCTTTAAGGAGGAAATGCCACAAAGTTCTGATTTATAGCACCCAACTATCAGACGTGACATACATATTGTGAAAAGGGGACAAAAGAAAGACACTCAGCTGTTTTTCTTTCCCCTTTTCACAACATGTAGCTCGAGCCAGAAACGAGTATATATAGATATTGTGAGGAACCGGTTTATGCAGCCAGGCCCGAGCTAAATCACGCTGGTGATGATCTTTTCAGATGAAGAAGATGTACAGGTGCTTATTTATTTATTTATTATTTATTTGCAATACTGTCGACTCCAATGTTGGAGTCATTACAGAGGGCACATTGCAGGTAGTATACATTCATGAAGAACAAACAATAACATTCCAACTGACATACATAAGCCTCACCCAGTACCTTCTGGCCTGCTACAGTGCGCTCTCTCACATCTGATATCTGGTGATGACATCTGATATCTCTGGTGATAACATCTGATATCTGGTGATGATATCAAAGAGAATAAAGAGTCATTCGCTTGTCGCGCTCACACTAATTCCCCCGCGCGGTGAAAGCGGCCGCCTGGTCGCTTGACAGTATTATGAAATGCGTCGCGCATAAGGCTTTGAACGAGATACGTGCACTATCTCTGTTCCTCGGCAACGATGATCAGGACTAGCGCTAAAAGGAGAAACGCGGTGATTGACAGGAGATGTCTGTTCGACCACCGTGTACGGCCCAATGAAGCGACTGATGAAATTGTCGCATAGGCCGGGGACGCGTAGTGGAGTCCATAGAAGAACTTCGTCACTAGGGGAAAAACTGACAACACGGCGAGACGAGTCGTAGCGAGATTTTCGAGTGTCTTGAGAGAGGCTGGTGTTAACACGGGCCTGGTGACGACAGTGTGCGAGACGAGATAGGAATTCTTCAGAGAAAGGAGCCGTCGAGGGTGCAGGGGCCGAAAGGAAAGAGACATCCAGAGCGAAACTTGGCGAGCGACCATGGACGAGAAAAAATGGAGAAAAGCCGGTAGTGCGTTGAGCAGCCGTCTTATAGGCGAATGTCACGAAGGGTAGAATTGCATCCCAGTTCGTGTGGTTGGGGTGAATGTACATGGCGATCATGTCCGATAGGGTCCGATGAAACCGTTCAGTCAATCCGTTGGTCTGCGGGTGGTAGCTAGAAGTGGTCTTGTGAACAGTGTTCGAGGCACGCAAAACTTGCTCGACAATGGAAGATAGGAAGACTTTGCCACGATCACTGAGGAGAATGCGTGGAGCTCCATGACGCAAAAAGATGTGGCGAAGAAAGAAATAGGCGACTTCAGTGGCAGTCCCAGATGATATAGAAGCTGTTTCTGCGTAGCTCGTAAGGTGGTCGACGGCCGTGACAATCTAGCGATTCCCATTGGATGATATAGGAAGAGGGCCATACAAGTCAATTCCAACGACTTCAAAAGGCGAGGCGGGACAAGGAAGAGGTTGCATTAAGCCAGCCGGAGCAGTTGTCGGTCGTTTTCGCCGTTGGCAATGGACACAGGAGGCGACGTACTTAGCGATGGCTGAAGAGAGGCCAGGCAAAAAACAACGACTTCGTATTTTGTCGTAAGTCTTGTGATAGCCTAGATGAGCGGCGGTTGGATCATCATGAAAGGCTTCCAGAACTTCACGTTGCAGAGAACGTGGGATGACGGGTACCCACTTGTTGCCATCGATGTGGTATATGTAGCGACATGAAGCATCACCGACAAGCTTAAATTGTTTAAGTTGTCGACGGAGTCTGGCGTTTGGAGGAGTAGTAGAGCCGGTCAAGCGGTCAACAATGGTGCGGCAGTGTGGGTCAACACGTTGTTGTGAAACAAGGACGGATAGGGTGGCAGGTGATGAACTTAGCGCTGCGATTGGAGAGGTGCTGTCGTTTTGGAGTATCGATGGTGAGTGGCTTCCGCTGGGCAAAGGACAGCGTGATAGAGCATTAGCATCTTGATGCTTCTTCCCAGATCTGTAGGCGACATCGAAATCATACTCCTGCAAGCGAAGCGCCCAGCGACCGAGGCGACCCGATAAGTTTTTCAGCGATGAAAGCCAGCATCGGGCATTATGGTCGGTCACGACAGTAAAATGACGGCCGTGAAGATATGGTCGGAATCTTTGCACTGCCCAAACAACAGCAAGGCACTCCTGCTCGGTGATAGTGTAGTTCTTTTCTGGAGCGGTAAAAGCACGACTTGCGTAACCAACGACGCGCTCTTACCGCTCCACTTGTTAGGAACCGGTTTATGCAGCCAGGCTCGAGCTAAATCACGCTGGTGATGATCTTTTCAGATGAAGAAGATGTACAGGTGATGATGATATCAAAAAGAATAAAGAGTCATTCGCTTGTCGCGCTCACAATATATATATGCCACAGACTTTCACTAAACGTTTTCAGTTTCTCTCTCTATTTCATTTACTTTTAAATTTTTTGCTGTAACACTAACATTTTCTGCACGGGATCATACGGTCGCAGGAAGACTGAGCTAGATTTCTGTAACTTTTCACGTTTATCATTGTCTGCCCGTGAACAGCGGCGTCGCCAAAGGGCAGGCGAATAACTGCCCCACACATTTTACAGCTCTTACAAGTGAACTGCATGCATTTTTTTTCTTGATACCGCCGACGACCGTCAATTTCAAGCTTTCGCCGCTATAAGGTGAGAGCAACGCCAAAGCCATTTTCACTTCACGCTTGGCGAGCTATGGTAGTCAGTATTAGGTGGCACCGCATAGCTTCGATGGTAATCGTAATAACATTCACAGTCAGGGTTCCCGCCAGAATCGTTCATCGATATGTTTTCAGAGATGTGTTCAAGTGAGCGCAATCACTTTTGCAGATCCGTTGGTTCTCCTGCCAGAGTGTCCGTTGAGTCCAGAGGACAGCCCGCACGCTTCACCAGCCAGTGAACGAGGACGTACGCTGAGATATACCTCAGTGGTCAGCGCCATGATCTGCAGCACCGTTGTCTTTATCATGGCATCCTTCGTAGTCGCCACGTTCATAGCCGCAAGGAAGGTCATACGATCTTACAGCGCTCTGACGATGAGGCTGCAGCTCGTCCACGATCTGGCAAACATCTGCGAGTCTCGCGGATGCCGACAAGCGTTGTGGCTTTTGAACGCATCGTGCGATACGTCTGTGGACATCTGCTCGGACCTCTACGGTTTCGTGTGCGGCCTCTGGGATGCCAAAACACCGGTCGGTCGTAAGATGTCCTATGCCAAGGCGCTTCGTTTCAACTACAGCTCCATGGTGTATGAAGCCCTCGCCCGCACGCTATTTTCACCGCAGGCTAAAGGCACCGACGCTTACAACATGGCACAGGCCTACAGCTCCTGTGTCGGCTTCTGGGCCAACTCGTCAACAAACCTAGAAAATATGCTCAAGGCGGCCAGTGTAAATCCTCGAGCTTTCATCAATGTTAAAAACATTTCACAGCTCTTTCAACTAACGATCCAAACCAACGTTGAGACCAGGCTGACCTCAGTCGTGAAGGTTGTCTACGCCATGACACACGCTACTGTAGGCGTCCTGACAGGAACCTCGATGCACTCGGCATCTTTCATACCAGAAATTGAAGAAGCCTTGCTCGAGCAACTAGCCTCGTCATTAGGGGACACGGGTGTCTTCAAGATAATCGGTATTATGGAAACGCTGGACAAACTCATCATGAACATCACAGATCCTCGTTTAGAAGACACCACACTCCATGAAGCCTTGACGACCAGAGCAGATCTTCCAGCACATGGCATTTATTGGGAGGACGTCTTGATGAAATACGCTCCACCAGCTGGATTCAAGCGCCCTCCACGTACTAACAGTGAAGGCGCCATTCGCGACATATTCCAGATACTGGCTTCGGCACCATTACACGCCGCCAAGGTGTACTTGTTGATTGTTCCTTTCGCAAGATACGTCAGCTTCGAGCTCAGGGCCGCATCTCGACGAAGCTTCCTGCCAGATTCAATGATGGCCCGCTTATGCATTCGCTACCTTTACGCGATGTTTGGACCTAGCGCACACGCTACCCTAATGCAAGTCATGGGCACTGACAAGGCTGCAAGTAGCTACATGTGGAACAATATAAGACAGCAATCCCAAGCTCTGCGCTACGTTGGCACTGGCTTCAAGCTAAGCAGAGACGCCCTGCTGAACGCAACGCTCAAGTCTCACAGTGAGTATGACGATACTAGTATTTTCTACATGCAAAAAATTCTAAACTGCGTGGTAACGACAAACAGCTTTCGTTCAGTCGGCTCGCATGACCGGAAAACAATCATATATGGCACCTCGCGTAGCGTAACAACTAGACCAGCAATATACAGCGCGTGCAACACATTAACTCGGCTGGTGCACTCTATCTTCGTCTTCTTCATCATAGAATTGACAATAAAGACAGATTGACTTGGCGACGTACATCCCAGAAATGAAAATAGGTATTGTACGCTTTTGTACGTATCACCTAGTATTTTCGTGGATAATAATAACCGTGGCCAGCACACCTATTGAAGTTGACACGATGAGTGTGCAATGTAAGCCATTGAGAAACTCTATGATGTAAGCACTTCCTCAATGCCTGTGCCTTCTGAAAACAAAATAGGCGCACTAGAAATACAATGCCCTAAACAGCATCGGAGAAATAATCTTGGTAATAAGGAGCATGGTAATTGATACATTCTAATTAGGAATCACTGATTAGGGTCTTTCAAATTGAAGTCACGCTAATAATTTATCGGCCACGAGCTCCGCTGTTAGTCTGGCCTTGAGAGCCGCCCACATTCGGACAGACTTATTTTCAACAAAAAAAAATAATTATACGACACTCTGGGCGGGTTTTCGCCATCACTCACCAATTCGTTAACACACATACGTACGCATCTGTATACATAATCAAATAAGTTTCCTAGCCAGAGCTACATTGGTCACACCGCTCGCCGCATCATGCAGCTGCCGTAACTTTAGAGGAGAAGTCGGTGAAACCATGTTGCAACCGCAGTTCCAGTTGACCAGCGTTGCGTATGTGCGGGCATGTGTGCATCATTACACCGGTCATCATGCTTTTGTTCACTGCCGTTTTGGCCACCGCCAGATCATCAAAACTGTTCCAAGCAGATTATGCGGTCTGTCGTGAGCAGTCCGCTTTTCACATAGGATACGAAACTTCGTCATACTTGAAATTGGGAGTTCCGCGTGACCTAGTGCGGATTAAAAAGACGTAACAGTTTCTGGTGCAGAGGATAGATCTGTTTAACTGTTACTTAACATTTAAGGACACTGTGAACACACAAAACTTCAAGCAACTTGCTCTTCAGTTTCCTTCTCTTGTTCGAACTATAGCGCTTACATTTTTTTTCAATAAATCTGAAGTTCTTCATGCTAGAGTTCGAAAAAAAAACATATTTAAGTATCGTTGATACAGCATTTATACAGCTTTGTACATGCGGGAGAAATGCCACCACAGTGAAACAGCCGATGCTTTACATCATCAATGATGCGAACTACGTAGCGGTAACAACGTCTCCAATCTTCACTTGCAGGGGACGACGTGGAGCCGGATGGGGGCCTGCTGCAAGTGTCGTACAGCAGTGACTTTATGGCCAACTTGATAATACTGGTTAGACACACGGGGAAGCAAGTGGAGCTCCGCCCCTATATGCTGCCCACCGAGAACGAAGCCGAAGTGGCAACGGAACTTCTTGTACCGGATTTTTACTACAACGACTCCACAGAGGCCAGCATCAACTACGGCACTCTTGGCGGCCACATGGCCCGGATGCTATTTGACGCCGCATTTCCCGAAAGGCATTCCCCCAAGTACGTCGACTGCCTGGACAAGTTCACAGTGCACAACGCCATACCATTTGACAAGACGGACTGGCAGCGATACGTCAACATGCAATGGTCCATGAATGCATCCTTCGAGTCGTTACAGAGAGAAAGGGAAACCACTCGGTCTCCCTTACTGCACCAACGACTCTTCTTTTTGCGATACGCCATGTCTATCTGTGGCGAAGATACGTCAGCGGTGAAAAGCCTCCAGTATGCCGCCCGCACTTCTCTTAGCTTCGCGACAGCTTTCAACTGCTACAGACCACCCAAGAACCCGTGCACCTAACTACATTCATTTTGAACAATACAACCTTTCTTCGCAATTACAGGACATCCGACATGTTAGGTGTGCTAACACTGCATGTTTTCCGCCAGCTCTACATAATAAGCTTTCAAATGTTATCACGACAGCCCTCGGGTACATTAAAATATAGTAAGGTCGTTTACTTTCATTACGCCCGAAGTATATATAATTGCCTATACTTTACCCATTTCTGCGCGACAATATGTATACGTATTCCAAGGACTTGACAAGTAAATAGGCATAGACTGGCTAGCAGATTTTTGTGCCCTACCATTTCCGCATGGCTCTTCAGCAGTGATGGCAGCATATTGCAAAAACTGACTGGAAACCTAAAACGAGAACGATTGATTGATATGTGGCGCTTAATGTCCCATAACCACCATATGATTATGAGCGACGCAGTAGCGGAGGGGCTCCGGAAATTTCGACCACATGGGGTTTTTTGAACGTGCACCTAAATCTGAGCACACTGGAGTACAACATTTCCGCCTTCATTGGAAATGCGGTCGCCGCAGCCGGGACTCGATCCCGCGACCTGTGGGTCAGCAGCAAGGTCGCTTAACCACTAGACCACCGCGGCGGGGCTAAAATAAGGAACGTAGTAAAGCTGTGGGGAGGCTCACATTCCTTTGATAAGTTGTTTTCACCGCATAGAGTACGTTACCCCGAGAAGCGACCACGGATCGCCCCCACCATCTCCTTCCAATTCTCCCGAACGCGCCTCTGTTCACTGGACGCATGACCAGCGAACAACGCGAGCGCAGCGCCCCCATGACTAAAGGCCTGACCACACACACCAGTTCTGGCACGGCGCGGCCAGGGGCGTACTAACTTTTTTTAATATGGCATATTGTTTGCCATTCGTTCTTCGGCATTTAAAATTCTCTGTGCCATAAACTTCCCTGTATTTTACATGACATCACGAATCTGTGAAATGTAGCTGTTTATTACAGCGTATGCACATTAAACAGGGCTTTCACACGCTGTACAATACCTAAAACGTTTTAGGGCCGTCGGAGAGCATCTTTTTCTAAATATTATTCCAGTAGACTAGCCGCCACCCACACTATCAGCGGCTACTTAAAGCAGCTGGCAAGATGAAGTATTACGAGTTTATAAAATATTTTCACCTGCAGCATGAAATCGTTTAGTAGTTTGTGCGTGCGCACATCTCTGCGAGATCATCCTTGTTGAGAGAGAGAGAGAGGAAGAGAGAGAAACAAGCAGCGCTGCATGTGTGTGCTTCTTTGCTGTCCAAGTTGTATTTGGAGATGCAAAAGATTATTCAAGTTGAATGAAAACCTACTATCCCGACTCTCAAATAAACCTCCATAGTGCTAAAAACCATAGTCTTTCAGCTTCTCCTCGAGTCCACTGCTTTATTCGTCACCACTTTGCAAGCTGCCACCATCGCTCCAAGGTACCATAAGCAAGGCTGATCAGGTTTATCGGAGACTAAAGCAGAAACCCTTTCTTGGCGCTTCCTGATAACACTATAACATAAAAGAATATTCATAACGTTCATCAGCTCACAGCAGCTTCAACAAAGTAGCGGTAATGACATTCATTTTCGATCAAAAAAGAAAACTAATCTTCCTGAAGCAGGAGATGATTTGACATGTCCATAAAAAGTTTGCTCGTTTGCATCCGTAACTGCATCGACCAGTCACAGCAGAAGGAAAGCGTGTAGAAGTTATGCAATGTTATTGGGCCCCTGTTCAGCGCTGGCCTGCTCCGAAATGCTATAGCAAAAGGCGCGAAAGCGCCGCATAATCAGCCCCCACCGCTAGAGCCTACAAGAAAAACCGTCACAGCAAAAATGTTGCAGAAATTTCACTACTTTATAATATTCCCTAGTAACAGCATAAT